ACCCAAACAACAAAAATACCTAGTATATTTTGCATCTGATTTGAAAGATATACATATATTCCTATTAAATAAAAGGTTTTCTGAAAATGCACCTTTTAAACTTACCGTACCTTACACTCCACATAAAGCCAGTTTAAGATCTTTAGTGTTTATTAGTACTGGGAAGACTGTTGTCTCTCCTCTCCATCCCATAATATCCAACACTGTACATAATCCATAATTTTAAATTTTCAAAATAAACTAAACTTACATGTATACTAGGCAAGTTTACTGAAACAAAACTTCCCATTTTCTTTTGGTGTACTTGCTTGGATAGCATCTTAACTACACGCATAACCCCTCTATAGAACATTCCAGCACTTGTCCCATATTATTGTATATGCCAAGAGTTTGTGCTAAAATCTTTTTTTTTTAAATCACTGTGGTCTTTTGATCATTGTGACATTAAATGCTCTTAATCTGAAACAGGTCTAGGTGTACATTCCTGGTAAACAATTCTCTAATACACAAATTGAATCTGAAAGTTCAAATTATATCTCTATTTCAAGACTAATGATGTAACTGATGGTTTCCACCTTCATTAGAGATGCTAGAAAATTAAAAGGGCTTTAAGAAATGATGGCTATTTTCAAAGCAAAAGAATAAAATGTAAAAGCAACTAATGATCGCAAATCACTTTACTCTCTCACTCTAGGAAGAATTACATGGGGTATAATTATAAAGAAAGGGTTCTTGTAAAGCAGTGGTTCTGAACCTTTGTTACAAATTAGAATTACTGGAAAGCTTTTAAAATCTTGATGCCTAGGCCAAGTCCCAGAACAGTTAAATCAGAATCTCTGGGGGATGGTACAGAGGTATGAGCATATTTTAAAACTTCTAAAGTCATTACAATGCACAACTAAGGTAGACAATCACTGTTTGTAAAAATATTCAAGTGACGACAGAATCACGGCAGAGTGGGCTCTTTCTTTAGACTCTCCCTGCTAAGATACAAGGAAAAGGACATTCATATACCAACAGAAGACATTCACACAACACAAAAGACGTCTGAGAGACCCACTCAGCCATACATCTGAAGGTGGAGGTGCTGGACAGCCCCTAGGAGGAAGTGGAAGGAGGTAAGGGGATCTCCTCTCCCTCTCCCAACGACAGTGACCCAGGCTGCGGGACTGCGGGCAGCTTTGGGAGAGGAGGGGGCAGCCCTCCCCGGGAACACTGCTGCTCTCCAAGTTCCCTCACAGCCCATGGGAAAATCCCACACAGATGTGACTAAGCTACTGCGGGAGTATCTTCATCAAGCCAGCACCCCAGGAGAGCAGATAGCAAGGGCAGAGCAAGAATGCCCCCAGGATCATGCAGTCGAAAGAAAGCGCCCCTCCTCCCACCCGGCACACTAGTTCAGCCGGTTGGCCAGAGTGCCTGCACATGCGATAGAAAAGCAGCAGCTGTAAGCGAGGGAGCCAGTGACTGTGGCGGGCTCAGAATACACAGCTCTTGACCCTGACCCAGTGGCAGCAGGTGGAAGCTGCCACCAGATACTATCACTATGCGGAGGCACAAATCCAAGCAATCAAACAGTATGCAGAAATATATTAATACTCCACACCAGAAGGAAAATAACAAGGACCCAGAAATCAATCCTGAAGGCACAGAAATATATAATCTAAACGACAGAGAATTCAAAATAGCTATCATAAAAAAACTCAATGAGTTACAAGAATATACAGATACTTCAATGAAATCAGGAACTTCAAAAAAGAGACTGAAACTATAAATAAGCAACTATAAAGCAGAAAAACACAATGAATGAGAGAAAGAAAAATCTGGACTCCCTAAATAACAGAGCTGATATTATGGAGGAGAGAATCAGCAGTCTGGAGGACAGAAATATAGAAATGCTTCAGATGGAGGAGGAGAGAGAACTAAGACTAAAAAGAAATGAAATTCTCCAAGAAATATTCGACTCAATTAGGAAATGCAACATAGGGCCGGACCGGTGGCTTAGTGGTTAAGTGCGCGCGCTCCGCTGCTGGCAGCCCGGGTTTGGATCCCGGGCGCACACCGACGCACCGCTTCTCCAGCCATGCTGAGGCCGCGTCCCACATACAGCAACTAGAAGGATGTGCAACTATGACATACAACTATCTGCTGGGGCTTTGGGGGAAAAATAAATAAATAAAATTATTTAAAAAAAAGGAAATGCAACATAAGGATTACAGGTATTCCAGAGGAAGAAGAGAAGGAGAATGGAGCAGAAAGTTTGTTCAAAGAAATAACAGCTGAGATCTTCCCAAACCCAGGGAAGCAGGTAAAAATACAAGTGAAAGAAGCTAATAGAACTCCTAATTATATCAATGTAAAAAGACCTCCTCTGAGGCATATAGTAGTAAAGCTGGCAAAAGTCAATGACAAAGAAAAATATTAAGGGCAGCAAGGCAGAAGAAAATAACTTACAAAGGAACTCCTATCAGGCATTCAGTGGACTCCTCAGCAGAAGTCCTATAGGTTAGGAGAGAGTGGAATGATATATTCAAAATTCTGAAAGACAAAAACTTTCAGCCAAGAATACTCTATCCAGTGAAAACATCCTTCAGATTTGATGGAGAAATAAAAACTTTCCCAGATAAACTAAAGCTAAGGAAGTTCATCACCACAAGACCCCTCCACACACAAGAAATGTTCAAGAAGGCCCTCATACCTGAAAAAAAAGAAAGGGGTTAGAAAACCTTGAGCAAGGAGATAAACAGACAGAATCAGAAAATTGCAGCTCTCTATCAGGACAGGTTAGCACACAATTATAACATTAAAGATAAAGGGAAGGAAAACATCAAAAAAAAATACAATCTCATTATTTTAACCACAAATTCACAACACAAGATGGAATAAGTTGTGACAGTAATAACTTAGACAAGAGGAAAGGGACAGAGTCAGCTTAACTCTAAAGAAATAAGAGACCATACAATGGAGAAAAAAAATTCTATTCAATAAATGGTGTTGAGAAAACTGGACAGCCACATGCAAATGAATGACAGTAGACCACTATCTTACACCACACACAAAAATTAACTCAAAATGGATCAAAGACTTGAAAGTAAGACCTGAAATGATAAAACTCCTAGAAGAAAATACAGGCAGTATACTCTTTGACATCAGTCTTAGAATAATCTTTTCAAATACCATGTCTACTCGGACAAGGGAGACAAAAGAAAAAATAAACAAGTGGGACTTCGTCAGACTAAAGAGCTTCTGCAAGGCAAAGGAAACCAGGACCAAAACGAAAAGACAACCCACTAACTGGGAGAAAATATTTGCAAATCACATATCTGATAAGGGGTTAATGTCCAAAATATATAAAGAACTCACACAGCTGAACAACAACAAAACAAACAACCCCATCCAAAAATGGGCAGAGGATAGGAACAGACATTTTTCCAAAGATATACATATGGCCAACAGGCACCTGAAAAGATGTTCAACATCACTCATCATCAGGGAAATGCAAATCAAAACTACACCTTACACCTCTTAGAATGGCTATAATCACAAAGACAAAAAATAACAAATATTGGAGAGGATGTGGAGAAAAGGGAACCCTCAAACACTGCCAGTGGGAAAGCAAACTGGTGCAGCCACTATGGAAAAGAGTATGGAGATTTCTCAAAAAATTAAAAATAAAAATACCATATGACCCCACTATCCCACTACTGTGTATTTATCCAAAGAACTTGAAATCAACAATTCAAAGAGACTTCTGCACCCCTATGTTAACTACAGCATTATTCACTATAGCCAAGAAGTGGAAGCAACCCAAGTGTCCCTCAACTGATGATTGGATAAAGAAGACAATGGAATACCACCCAGCCATAAAAAAAAGACAAAACTGTCCCATTTACAATATGGATGAACCTTGAAGGTATTATGTTAAGCGAAATAAGCCAGACAAAGAAAGACAAAGACCGTATGATTTCACTCATATGTAGAAGATAAACTAACACACAGACAAAGAGAACGGTTTAGTGGTTACCAGAGAGGAAGGGGGTTGGGGGTGGGATCAAGGGGTGAAGGGGCACATTTATATATATGGTGACTGACAAATAATAATATACAAGTGAAATTTCACAATCTTATAAACTATTATGACCTAAATAAAAACAAAGAAATATTCTAGAACATAAATATTTAAATATATGCTGCTTTAAAAATAGCACCATAGGGCCAGCCCCACAGCCTCATGGTTAAGTTTGGCATGTTCTGCTTTGGCGGCCCAGGTTCATGGGTTCAGATACCAGGCACAGATCTACACCCCTTGTCAGCCATGCTGTGGTGGTGACCCACATACAAAATAGAGGAAGATTGGCACAGATGTTAGTTCTGGGTGAATCTTCCTTAGCAAAAAAAAAAAGGAAAAAAAAAAAAACACCATAAGAGCCTACAAATTTATTCTGGCAATGTTCAAAACTTCTTTCTTAAGGGTTTTTTAAAATTGCTTTTTGTCATATGTTAACCAAAAATGGTGTTAGCCATGTTGATCACCTGCCTGATTAATTATATTTAGCTGTTAATAGGGGTAAAGAGCACAAGTGTTAAGAGTCACAAAGACTTGGATACCAGTCCTAGCTCTACCATTTAATAGTTAGTTCTATGATTACAGATAAGTAGCTTAACCTCCCTGAGCTTCCATGTCCTCATTTGTAAAATAGGAGGATTAAAGTAGAAAACAACGTGCACAACGTGACTCCTGGCCCATAGGAGGTAATGTATAAATGGTTGTACTTATCATTATCAAGTAGACTAGAAGTCACGGAGGCCAGGACTGTATCTTGTTTAAGGTTATATTTTCACAACCTATCACATAGTAGCTACACAGTAATTATTGTTAAGCTCCTCAAGAACTTTTTATCTGTCTTTGTAACCCTTATACCTCATACAGATTCTGACAAAAAACAAGAGCTTAATAACGTTCTGAACAAACAAAACAAACATTTCAGATAAGAACAAACCCTCAAGCCTTGCTTTGTAGTAAAGAAGTCAGAATAACCAGCATCCGTAGCCAACAGTCCCACAAACTGCATCGCAGGCCGCTGCCGTATAAACAGTTCTACGGCTCCATCGGTGATGTCACTGCCACCCGAAATATCCAGTGACACAACATTAGGCAGAATATCCTTCTGCTGCAGCAAATGAAAAGCCAGATCTGATTTGAGTTGCCTGTGATCAGAAATATCAAGGTGAAGCAGACATTTAAGTTCTCTAATGACTGCGAGAATTTGCGATTTGGTCATGGTCAGGCATTTTAGATAGTGCATTGTGAGAGATTTGAGTCGATTCTTACAGGTAAGGAGGGCAGAGATGTTAGTGACTAGAGTATTAGAGATATCCAAGCTTTCCAGTTTTGGTAACTGAGAAACATTAGCCAGGTCTTCACTATGAAAACAAACATTGAAAACACTTAAAATGCGAAGACCAGTGAGCTGACCAAAGTATAGCACTCTTGAATCTCGAGGGATGCTTGTTGAGTCCAACAGGAGACACCGGAGGTTTTGCTGGATCCAGCTATTGCTGCAGAGTCCACTTATGATGTCTGGGACTGGGAGGTCAGTGTGCACTGCAGTAGCATCCAGTTCAATGAGTCTGTGATGGCAGAAGGCTTTTATGAATGCAGCTGTAGAGATTTTAGCTTTCTGAATATTGACCAGCTTCAGTTTCATTTGGTTGCCCCGGAAAATGCTTGCTGTTCTATCAGTCAGCTTTCCTATAAGAGAACCAGAACCACCTTGTAATAACAACTAAATCTCATGTCTTTTCCAGGAGGCATTGTGGCCAATTAACTATGACAGATGCTAACAATAACAATAATGACTACATTTACTGCTTACTCTGTGCCAAGCACTGTTCTAAACCCTTTACTCAGATTATCTCATTTACTCTTTGCAATACTACTGTAACAGAACTATTATTATTACTATCTTATAGCTGAGGAAACTGAAGCTTAAAGAGGTTAAGTAACTTGCTCAAGGTCAAAACGTGGCAGAATCAGGAATCAAAGCCAGTTTGACTTCAGAGCTCACAGTTTTATCCGTAGTAACCCTGTTCACAGAAAAAAAGAAAAGAAAATGGATGAGTACAGGATATATAATATGCAAATAACACTACTATATAATATGACAAGTCACCTCTCTGGGACTCTTTTTCCTCACGTGTAAAATAAGTAGGCTGTACTAGATTTCATTTAGAAAAGATTTACCAATGCACCTTCTATGTGTGAGATCCATGTTAAATAATGGGCACACAAGGTAATTAAACACCTGTGACCACAAGGAATTCACAAGGAATTGTGTCTAGGAAGACACATCAGGTAAATAAATGATTACAATAGTGTATTACATCCAGTAGTGATTTGTACACACCAGGTACTGAATTAGTACAGATGAGATTAACTCTGGGGAAGGTCTATTTTTTAGGCCCTGAGCTAACATCTGTGTCAATCTTCCTCTATTTTTTGTATGTTGGATGCCGCCACAGCAAGGCTTGATGAGCAATGTGTACGTCCACACCCAGGGTCCAAACCCACAAACCCCAGGCCGCCGAAGCATAGCATGAGAACTTAACCACTACGCCACCGGGTTGGCCCCTGGGGAAGGTTTTGAAGACTAAATATCAGTTTGCCAGGGGGAAGGTGAAGGGTGGAAAAACATGTCAAAAACATGGAGGCCTATAACAGTAGATTATTCGAAACAACCCTGAATAGATCAGCACTACTGAAACATAGTGTACAATGGGAGGCGTGGCTGGAAATGAGAGTGGAGGGAAAGGTAAAATACAGATGGGGCCTGTACACACAGCTAGGAAACTCAGACTTCTACCCTATGAAAAACAACTCAAAATTTTTAAGCAAAAAACGAATGGTCATAATTATATTTTTAGAAAGTCCAATTATGTGACAATGTAAAAGAATTAGGATGGTGTTTGATGGGAGTGAGATGGGGCAAGAGATTATTAATGATTTTAATGATGAGAAATGAAAATTTAAACTCAGGCTGACAGAACATGTGGCTGAACAGGCTGAGGGAAAGGGCTGAGGAAAAAGGTATATAAACTGATTCCCAGGTTTCCAGTTTGAGTTGGGCTGTGCTACCAAGACAGGAGGAAGGAAGCCCCCATACTTCAGTCTTTGAGGAGGAACTTAGTACATTCATTCATACAATTATTTAACAAACATCAAGAGCTCACTGTACACAAAGTGCTGTGCTAGATGCCAAGAATGGTGAATGAGACAGATATGGCTCCTGCTATCATGAAGTTTATTTACATTCTAGAGGGAGAATACAGATACAAGAAAATACAAAACAAACGGAATGCTACCAACATTAAAAATGTAGTAAGTGTTCTAATGGAAACAAACAAGAACATAATATAGGGGTGGGGAGAGGGAGAAGGAAGACAAGAACCTTCTGTCTCTGGGGTTTGAGGTGGTAATATTTAAGCTGAGACTGAAAAGATGTGAAAAGCAAAGGTAGTTGTCATTCCAGATAGAGAGAAGAGCTAAGATCCTGATATGGGAAACAGCTTGGCTTTTTCTATGAAATGAGAGAAAACCAGTATGGCTGAAGCACAGCTGGTGAGGGGATACCAGCATCTGACAGGTTAGAGACAGAGGCAAGAGTCAGCTCTTGCAGACCAGGGTAAGTAAGAGGCATTTTATCCTAAGTACAAGGAGAAGCGTTTAAAGAGTGACAGAGTAGTGGCCAGATCTGATTACAGTACAAGAGAACTGTTCTCTGCTGTGTAGCAAGCAGAGTTGGGCGAGGGGCAAAAAAGTGAACCACCTGAGAGGCCAGGGGACAGGAAAGAAAAAAGGTGTCACTGACGGGCTAGGAAGAAAAGAATGTTTGAGTTATATATTTTGAAAGTAGAAAATGTTTCAACAGAATCAAGGGGAGAGGGAGGAGGCATGAAAAATGACTCCTAAGCCATTGAACAACAAGGTAGATGGTCAAGCCATTTTGGAGACGGGGGAAATGGCAGTGTAGTGGGTGCTTTAATGTGACACCCAGACCTCCTTTAGGAACAAAGGACTTAGTACTTGAGCTGATGAAAGTGCCTCCAGATGACAGCCCCCATCTATGTGGACTGCATCAGCTGAAAAGAGTTGCCTCACCCAAAGTCACACCACTTTCCCATGGAGAACCACAGCCAAAGACTGAGTCGGGAAATATAAAGATCCAGCACTCACACCCCAACTCAACACAGGTCTGCGTAGTTATTCCACCTTCAGGACTCCCCAAAAGATCAGCCAAGGTCTTCTAGATACTATATACTTTAAATCTACAATGAAGTAAAAACATCTGGAATGAATTGGCATTGAGACAGTGTTTAAAACCATGGGAATGGATGACCTATAAGAAAAGGAGCAAGGACCAAGTACTGTAAGCATCTACATTTAAGGTCAGATAGTAGAATGAGGATTAGTCATGATAACAACTAACAGTTACTGAATATTCTAAACATTTTAGATATATTAACTCTCTAAATCCTCATAAAACCCCAATAAGGTAGGTTTTGTTTTTTTTTAATAATTTTATTTATTTATTTTTCCCCCAAAGCCCCAGTAGATAGTTGTATGTCATAGCTGCACATCCTTCTAGTTGCTGTATGTGGGACGCGGCCTCAGCATGGCTGGAGAAGCAGTGCGTCGGTGCGCGCACAGGATCCGAACCCAGGCTTCCAGCAGCAGAGCGCGCGCACTTAACCGTTAAGCCACGGGGCCGGCCCAGGTAGGTATTATTATTAGTCACGTTTTACAGATGAGATGAGGCATAGGGAGTTAAGTAACTGGCCCAAGGTAACATATCTACTAGTCATGACAGTGTACAAACCCAAAGAGTCTGGCACCAGAGCCAAAGCTCTTATAACCTTTAATCTGTATTGCCTTTCAAGGGGAGCTGGATAGGGAGATAGATAAGCAGCAGTCATTGAGGGAGAAAGAAAACTAGAAGAACATGATGACTCAGCAGCCCAGAGAAGAGTTACAAGATACCCAGGAGGCACCCTGGATAGTGGTTCTGGAGCTTATAAAGTCGTGCACTAGGAACTCTGGGGAATCCAAATATAAGTGGTAGCTAAACCAAAGAAAATTACCCAGGGAGTGTACAAAGTGAGAAGGGTACCCAAGATGGAACCTTATGGAACATAAAACATTTAAGTGCATACAGAGAAACAGAAGCATACAAAGGAAACTGGGGAAGAGTAACCAAGAATACAAGAAAAAAATAGTACTCTAAGCCAGGAAGGTCAAGAGCAGCAGTCAACACCAAAAGTCAAACGTACAAGAACACCTGATGATTTAGTGAATCTAAGTAATCACAAAAATCACAAAACCAACCAGACAACCAGACTTTATTAACCCCCTTAAGGAAGTTGAGGGCACTACCAAAAAAAAAAAAAAAATCAAACATGAATCTGATCAAGCCTCTACCTCTAACTTCCAATCTATAGGAATTACAGGGATCAGAGGAACATGCCAAAATTATTGCACAAACAATGGCAAAATCCAGGTTCTGGGAAACTCTACAGAACAACCAACCACAGTTTCTTTAAAAAAAAAAAAAAAAGAAAGAAAGTGGAAAATCCCCAAATACGTGTAGATTAAACAACACACTTCTAAATAACACAAGTCAAAGAAGAAATCTCAAGAAAAATCTTAAAATATTTTGAACTAAATGAAAATGAAAACACAACTTTATCAAAATTTGTGAGAGGCAGCGAAAGTGCTTAGAGGGAAAATTATAGCACCGAATGCATACATTAGAAAGTAAAGATCTAAAATCAATAATCTAAATTTCTACCTTAAGAAACGAGAAAAAGAAGAACAAATTAAATCAAAAGGAAACAAAAGAAAAGAAATATTAAGAATTAGAGGGCTGGCCCCGTGGCTTAGAGGTTAAGTGCATGCGCTCCGCTGCTGGCGGGCTGGGTTCGGATCCCCAGCGCGCACCGACACACCGCTTCTCCGGCCATGCTGAGGCCACATCCCACATACAGCAACTAGAAGGATGTACAACTATGACATACAGCTATCTACTGGGGCTTTGGGGGAAAAAAATAAATAAATAAAATTAAAAAAAAAAAAAAAAAGAGTAGAAATCGATGAAATTGAAAATCTGAAATCAATCGAGAAAAATCAACAAAACCAAAAGTTGGTTCTTTGAAAAGATCAATAAAAGCAATAAGCCTCTTGCCAGGCTAACTGAAAAAAAAAGGAGACAAATTACTAATATCAGAAATGAAAGAGAGGACATCACTACAGATCCCATGAACATTAAAAGGATAAGAAAGGAATACTAAGAACAACTCTATTCCCACATATATTGATAACCTAGGTAAAATGGACCAATTCCTAGAAAGACACAATCTGCCAAAACTCACATACGAAGAAATAATTATCTGAATGGGCTTAATAGATAAGAAATTTAATCAATAATTAATAACCTTCCAAAAGAGAAACCACCAGGCCCAGATGAATTAACTGGTGAATTCTACCAAACACTTAAGGAAGAAATTATAGCAATTCTCTACAATTTCTTTCAAATGATAGAAGCAGAGGGATATACTTTCTAACTCATTCTTTGAGGCCAGCATTACCCCAAGAGCAAAACCATATAGATACTACAAAAGAAAACTACAGACCAATCTCTCTCATAAACACAGATGTAAAAATCCTCAACAAAATGTTACCAAGTCAAATCTGACAGT